GGCTCAGGAACCGGACTAGAGACCGTCACAGAGGTTGGGCTCGATTCCACATTCCATTGCCAAGTATGTCACTTTGGGGCCAGTTCAGATCCAAGGAGACCCCATTTACCGGCCCCCTTCCACCCGGAGGATGTCACTGTGGAGCTGGACGGATCCCGGCAACATCTTGAGTGTTCAGTGATTCCCATCACAGATCTGTAGCCTCTCATTCCTACAGCCATCAATACAGCACAGAAAGCCGTTCAGCCATCGTGCCTCGAGTGATTCCATTCAGTCACATTTACCTGTCTTTACCTCTGAAATGACTCCTTTAGATATCTATCTACTTCACTCTTCAACGGATTATGGATTACAACAACAACAGCAAAATTACATTTGTAAAGCGCCTTTCACGTCGGGAGGACGTCCCAATTATGCCTTAACCACTACTCCTAGCAGGGCATTCCATATCTAACGGCAAAGTACTCCAGATGTTAGAAATCTGGTATAAACACAGAAGTCGCTGGGAACACACAGATGTCTGGCAGTATCGATGGAAAGAGGAAAATGAGTTAACGTTTCAGGTCAATTAGCTTTTGTCAGAACTGACGTAAGGTTCCCAGCGACTTCTATGTTATCCCATATCTTAAAACTTCTTTTAATCAATGTCAACCAGTCACTAACTGACTAAACTGTGGAAACAATGTCTCACTATCTATTCTATCAAAATCCCTTTGAATTTTAAAAATCTTCATCAGGTCTCACATCAGACTTCTCTATTCCAATGACAACAAGCTCTGTTCCTCCAGTCTCTCCTCATCCCTCATATCATCCTAGTAAACCTCTGCACCCTGAGTGTGACATTGATATTCTACCCAGGAACATACTTTTAGACACAGTAGATAAACGGCCCGGATCAAATCTCTCTTGTTTTTCAGCTTCTGTGTGTCCATGAGCCGATCTTGATACAGACCAAACTCCTCGTCCTCCATCGCAAAGCTCCGTACCGTCCGGATCCCAGAGACGGTCTCGGCAGCAAGCTCGCTGGAATAGGCGATGGAATCCTGCACCTGTGTCAGCAGTTTCTAATGTGGAAACATACACTGCAATGAGCCAGCCCTGAATAATCCCAGCCCTGAAGTCTCATCCCAAAAACATTCCTATACTTGGAATCCCAAACACTTCAGGTGCTGGATTTTATCCCAATCATACCCTGAGTCGAAACCCAAAATATTCATTTCTTTTGCCTCATCCCAAACACTGTCATCCCTGGATTCCCTCCCAAAACACTATCATCCCTGGATTCCCTCCCAAACACTCTCATCTCTAGATTCTCTTCAAAACACTCTCATCACTGGATTCCCATCCCAAACACTATCATCCCTGGATTCCCTCCCAAGCACTCTCATCCCTGGATTCCCATCCCAAATACTCTCATCCCTGGATTCTCATCCAAAACACGGTCATTCCTGAGTTTCCTAGTTGACTTGACTGATGGACTGAGCTATTGGGGTTGATGATGATTGGGAGATGGTTTACACACTGGTTACCTAGCAGTAACTGGGACCTGCTGGTTACCTGGTGATATTGACTGTACAGTTTCTGGATTATGGTTGTCAGTGGTATCTCGATCAAGGTGAGGAGGGTGAGCTGCCAGGACAACGAGAACATGAAGGAAAGAATTCCAATCGTCTTAACTAGGCTCCTCAGGAGGATGTTGATGTTTAAGGTAATGGAGTCGCTCATGAGGGTGGTGTCCATGGAGAGACGAGAGGTTATGTCACCTGATAAACAAGCAAGAGGTGAGGTCACAGTCACAAGTTCACAAGATTAGGTTTTAATGAAAATGTTCCGTGGCCCATGTGATCAGAGGATCAGCTGTTTATTAAGAAGCCCCATGAGTCGGCCTCAACCACCCGTCCATCCTGCCAACCTGTTCATTACTGATAATGTAACGTACAATACATAGGATCCAAGAATAGGAAAATCCTTGTACTTATCCTGAAATTGTCCGTTACAGCTCTAAACCTGTGTCCTCTTGTTCTACTCTCATAACACACATTAAAGTATTGATCTGTGTTGAGATCTGTATTTTCATTCATATTTATACTTTTATCCACATCTGAGTCCCCTTTGACTCGTCTTCTCTCAAGACTGAAGAGACTTTGTCCTTCAATGGGTTTTTCCTATCACTGTGTAGCAGAATTCATCAAGTTTCACCAGATTGTTCACTAACTATCGCTCACTCACAGGGAATGTGATCTGCGTTTAGACCATCATAATACAGGTTATATTTAACCTATTGATGATAGTAATAGTTGTTGTAATAATAATCCAATGTCCTCTTTCACTACTGATCTAGTTGTTGTTCACAGCTCATTCCTCTAACACTGGGGACCAGCCTCTCTGCTCTTACTGTCTCTAGGGCTTGGTCAGCCCCTCTGTCATGGTGACCAGAACTGTTTGCAGTTCAAGGTGTGGTCTGAGCCGACACTGAACAGCCTGGGAATAGCGTCTGAGGATATAAACTGTAACTGATTTAGGAATATAGTCCAGCTTCCTTTTGCCTTGTTTACTGCTCTTCACATAGTTTTTCAGCTTAGGTCTTGGCAAGTTCAGTGCCATTCAGGTACTCCTTGTATTTCCTATTCTTGGATCCTATATAAAGTACCAGCATTTATCAGTATTAAACTTAATTTGCCACTGAGCAGTCCATGTGCTTACTCTATCAAACTCTTTAACAAACCTTTGCTGCCTCCTCTGATTCCACGATTCCCCCAATATTGATGTCATCTGCAAATTTATCTTACATTTGACTGTGTCTGCAAATCCAGGTCATTAACACATCAGACCCCAGAGACGTAGTACCACTAGTTCCCAGGTGCAAAACATAATCAAAAAGGCAATGGCATGTTGGCCTTTATCTCAGAGGCCTGGGATACAAAGGGGAAGAAATGATGCTTCAGCGTATAGAGCGTTAGTCAGACCCCACCTGGAGACTGCATTCAGTATTCGGCACCACACCTCAGGAAAGATATCTTGGCCTCGGAGGGGCTGCAGCTCAGGTTCACCAGAACGTTACCAGGCCAAAAAGGGTTAAGTTACGAGGAAAGGCTGCGTAAACTTGGATTGTATTCCCTCGAGTTTAGAAGATTGAGGGGTGATTGGATAGAGGTTTTTAGGATGATAAAGGGATGTGATAGGGTAGATGCACAAAAGCTATTTCCTATGTTGGGGGAATGCAAAACAAGGGGCATAGTCTTAACATTAGAACCAGACCATCTATGAGTAAAATTAAGAGCATTTTTTCACTCAAAGGGTGGTAGAAATCTGGATCTCTCTCCCCCAAAAGGTCATGGATGCTCCTTCAAGAAAGAGTTTGACAGATGTTCGGTCGGTCGGTCAGTCGGGGATTAATGGATACGGGAGAAAGCGGGAAATTGGATTTGAAATTCTTGTAAAGATATAGATCAGCTGTGATCTGATTAAATGGCGGAACAGGCTCGACAGGCTGAATGGTCTACTCCTGTTCCTATGTTCCTACCACTTAGTACCACTCAAAATTTGACTGAGGTCTCCAAACAGCGACCCACTGCTTCCTTGCCCTGTTTGTTTTAAACATTTTGTACCATTTTACCAAATAAATCAAATCGAGACTCAAACTCAATAACACCAAATACTTTGAGGACTGATTACAGCAGGGAATGGGATCAGTGATCTCAGCAGGGGAAGGGGGCACAGTGAAGTGGACGGGATAGAGAAAAATTGAGGAGGAATGAGCACAATGAGAAGGAATTATCAACAACATCAACAACAAAATTACATTTCCATCGTGCCTTTCCCGTTGGAAGGATGTCGCAAAGCCCTGGACAATCAGAGCAAATAGCTCCAGCGAAGGCACCCCCGGACTTCCCTGCCTCCAACCCTCACCCCCTCTTGCTCATCTTCAGATCACACCTGAAGACTTCCCTCGTGAACTCAGCCTCCAGTCACCTCCCCCCCCCTCCAGCTCAGCGTCAAACTCTGTCACTGCAAAATGCTCCAAGATATTACCTTGTGTGAAGGGTACAAGTTGTTGTTTAAGGTGAATTGTCTCTCCTGCACCTTCGGACATCCCCCTGACATGAAAGGCAGTCAATAAATGTAATGTGTTGTTGCTGTTGTTCCTATGAGGGCCTGAGACACTGAGGCTTATCCTGTGACAGGTACTAAGATGCTTTTCCTCACAGAGCCTGGGTGGTAGTAGGTGACGGAGATACTCTGTGCAGAAGCCTCACCTGTTCGTGTCGATTCGAAGAAGGCGATTTCCTGATGAACGATGGAACCAAAGAGCTGCCCCCGGAGACGCTTGACAAACCTGGACGATGCTAACGTGAAGAGCCCTCCCCGCAGGCCGGCAGCGATGGAACTACAACAGCAACGTCATGTGGATATTCAGTCACTGATTTTAACAGCAACAACAACAACTTACATTTATACAGTGCTCTCCACACTGGGCAGCGTCCCACACACTGCCCCCCCATACACTGCACCCCCACACACTTCCCCCTAACACACACTACCACCTCCACACATAGCCACCCCACACACACAACCACCCCACACACACTGACCCCCACACACAGCCACCATACACACAGCCTTCACACACACTGCCACACCCACACACTGCCCCACCACACACTGCTCCTCACCACACAATACCCCCACCACACACTGCCTCCCCACACATAGCCCCCCGATACCCAATGCCCTCCCCCAACAAACTGCCACGCCCACACACTACCCCCCCACGAACTGCTCCCCACACACTGCCCCCCACACACCACCCTCAGCGCACACACACTGCCCCAGCGACACACTGTCCCTCCATACGCATTGGCCCCCACACAACAACAACAAGATTCCATTTATAGAGCGCCTTTCATGTTGGGAGGACGTCTCAAGGCTCTGTACAGTTGGGTCAGGACCCGAGCAAGGGGGAAATAGTCAGGGGGAGGGGAGGGAGGGAGCGAGGAGGGGGGAAATTGTCAGGGTGAGGGGAGGGAAGGGAGGGAGCGAGGAAGGGGGAAATGGTCAGGGTGAGGGGAGGGAAGGGAGGGAGCGAGGAGGGGGTAGAGAGTCGAGAGGGAACTGAAGGCTTGGTCAAAGAGAAAGGTCTTGAGACCGGCCTTGAAGGAGGAAAGGGAGGAGGCGGCGAAGGCACTGGGGATAGAGTTCCAAAGCCTCGGGGCTGAGAGGCTGAAGGCCCGGCCACCGATGTTAGGGCAGTTGGGGCGGGGGATGTGGAGCAGACCGGAGCCAGAGGAACGGAGTGTACGGGCAGGTAGGTAGGGGGATAGTAGGTCAGAGAGGTAGGAGGGAGCAAGGCCGTGAATGGACTTGTAGGTGAGGATGAGGATCTTGAAATCGATCCTCTGGGGGATGGGGAGCCAGTGGAGGCGAGCGAGGGCGAGGGTGGGAGTGATGTGGTGCGGGACAGTACACGAGCTACAGAGTTCTGAATGACCTGCAGTGTGGAGGGAGGGCCGGGAAGACCGGCGAGGAGAGAGTTCCCATAGTCCGGCCTTGAGGTAATAAAGACGTGGACCAGAGTTTCAGCCGCGTGAGGGGTGAGGTAATGCCGTAGTCTGGTGACATTCCGGAGGTGATGGAAGGCGGTGCCAGTTGTGGCGCAGATATGAGGGAGAAAGGACAACTCAGGGTCGAACAGAACCCCGAGGTTCCTGATGGCTTTGAGAGGTGGAGAGTACGGCCTTGGAGCTGATGCTGGTAGGAGTCGGAGTGTGGGAGGGAGGGGGTGGGGGGTGGGTGAATGTTGGAGGGGAAGTGACCGCGGAGCGAATTCCCCCACCCACTGCCGCTCCACACACCACCCTCCTCCCACACACTGCCACCCCCACACACTGCCCCCCCAGACACTGCCCCCCACAACCCTGCCCCCTCCACACACTGCCCCCTCCACACACTGACCCCCCACACACTGCCCCCCCCACACACTGCCACCCCCACACTGCCCCCCCACACACTGCCCCCACCAAAGCACTGCCCCTCCACACACTAACATCCCCACACACTGCTGCCCCCTACGCACTGCCCCTTCCACTCACTGCTCCCTCACACACTCTCCCCCACACACTGCTCCCCACATACTAAACCCCACACACTGCCTCCCACATACAGCTCTCTCACAAACCGCCCCCCCACACACTAAACCCCATACATTGAGCCCCCCAACACCAGACTCCAAACACACTGCCCCTCCACACACTGGACCCCACATACACTTAGGGTTAGGGTTAACACCCCACAGTTGCAGTGTGTGTGGAGATGCAGTGTGTGTGTGGGGTGGGGGGGGTTCAGTGTGTGAGGGGGAGGCAGTGTGGGGGGTGGGGGGCAGTGTGTGGGGGGACGGTGTGTCGTCCGGGAGCGGTGTGTGTGTGGGGGGGGCGGTATGTGTGTGGGGGCGGTGTATGGAAGCAGTGTGTGGGAGGACAGTGTGTGGCCTTCAGCCTCTCAGCCCCCAGGCTCTGGAACTCCATCCCCCAGTGCCTTCGCCGCTTCCTCCCTTTCCTCCTTCAAGGCCGGTCTCAAAACCTTTCTCTTTGACCGTGCCTTCAGCTCCCCTCTCGACTCTCTTCCCCCTCCTCGCTCCCTCCCTTCCCTCCCCTCACCCTGACCATTTCCCCCTCCTTGCTCCCTCCCTTCCCTCACCCTGACCATTTCCCCCTGCTCGGGTCATGACCCAACTGTACAGCGCCTTGGGACGTCCTCCTGACGTGAAAGGCGCTTTATAAATGGAATCTTGTTGTTGTTGTTGTTGTTGTGGGGGGCAGTGTGTATGGGGGTGCAATGTGTGGGGGGGTAGTGTGAAGGGGAACAGTGTGTGGGAGGGGCAGTGTATGCAGCGGTAGTGTGTGGGGGTAGTGTGTGAGGGCAGTGTGTGAGGTGGGCAGTGTTTGCGGGGGGCAGCATTTGTGGGGGACGACAGTGTGTGAGGGGGCAGCATGTGGGGGCACTTTTTTGGAAGGCAGTGTGTGAGTGGGAGGCAGTGTGGAGGGAGCAGTGTGTGGGGGCAGTGTGTGGGGAGCAGTAAGTTGGGCGGCAGTAAATGGGGGCGCAGTGTGTGAGGAGGAGGAAATATGTATGGGGGAGCATTGTTTGAGGGGGCGCGGTGTGAGGGTGACAGTGTGTGGTGTGGGGGGGGTGAGAGGAGGAAATGATAATAATAATCCTTGCATTTGATATGGCGCCTTATCACGTCTTTGAGACGTCTCAAAGTGCTTCACAAAATATTCTGTAAAGTGTAGTGACTGTATACTTTGTGGATGAAACGCAGCAGCCAATTGCGCATAGCAGCATCTGTCCCACAAACAGTCGTGGATTGAGTAACTAGATTATTATTATTTTTTGTTGAGGGATTATTATCAGGCGTGTGGAGTAAGGAAACTTTCCCAAAGTTTCATTCCTAACCAGGAATCGAAACCAGGTCTCGTTTGTGAGGCGAGTGCTCTAACCACTGAGCTACAGGACACAGAGAGTCACTAGATGGGGGGCGCGGGGGTGGGGGGGGGAGCGGAGATATAGAGAGTCACTGTGGGGGCGGGTGGGGGGGCGCGGACACAGAGAGTCACGGGGTGGTGGGGAGACATACAGAGAGTCACTTGGTGGGGAAACACTGAGAGACACATCCATGATCACCTTCCTATGGATGTCAGGAACATGCAGGAAATCGCCGTCATGAAGATCTGCTGATCATAGTGAGCGGAGAGGACATCGATCACCCGCCCCGTGTAATAGGGCCCAAACATCTCACCTGTAAATACAGAGAGAGATCGTTCACCAGGGTGAGGGGGGGAAACTGAGAGTCACGGGGGGGAGACACAGAGAGTCACCGGGGAGGGGGAGACACGATAGTCACTGGGGGGGAGGGGGCGGGGGGGAAACACAGGGAGTCACTGGGCGGGGAGACAAAGAAACTCACTGGGTGGGGGGTGGGTGGGAAGAGACACTGAGCGTCACTGGGGGGAGAAAGACCAAGAGTCAAGGCGGGGCAAATGCTGGGCGTCAATGGGGGTGGTGACACACTGCTATTCACAGGGGTGAATACACTCACTGAGGGAGAGAAAGAGAGTCAGGGACACAGCCAGTGAGCATGCAAGAGACAGAGACAGTGAGACATGATACCACTTTACAACAACAACAACTTGCACTTATACAGTGTCCTCCACACAGGGCAGATGGTGGAGCCTGACTCCGTGCCGGGGGTGGATGGGGGAGGTGGCCGTAAGCACGGTCGAAGAGGAAGGTTATCAGGTGGGATTTGAAAGAGGGGAGAGAGGGGGCAAGAACGGAGGGATTGAGGGAGAATGTTCCAGAGTTTCAGGGCGCAGTGTCTGAAAGCGATGGTGGGGCAGAGGGTGCGAGGGACAAGCAGGAGCCGGTGTCAGTCAAGTGAAGGCGCTGACCGTGTGGTGGATTGGGGAATGAGGAGGGAGGGAGGTGCTAGAAAGTGAAGGGATTTGAACACGAATGAGAGGATCTTGAAGTCGATCTGTTTGGTGATGAGGAGCAAGTGGAGCCTTGGCCAGACCTGGTGAGATGTGGGGACGGAGTTTGGTTCGGATCAGTGGAGGAGTGGAAGAGTCTGAATAAGCCGGATTTTGTGAATGGTGGAGCTGGGGATACGGGCGAGGAGAGAACTGCAGTAATCCAGGCGGGAGGTGGCAAACGCATTCACGAGGGTTTCGGCTGCATTTGAGGTAAGGTACGGTCGGAGGCGGGCAATGTGGCGAAGGTCACTTTACTCCTACTTAGCACTTTGAGACGTCTCCACAACATGGTGAGACGCTCTATCAAATACCAGCATTATTATTATTATTATTATTTGTCTCATTTGAATTTGATCCATGAACAGGAGACGTTATTGGAAGAGATGAAGCTACTCACCAATAACTGCCAGTGTGAGGAAGATGAACGCTCCACTGAGAGGGATGGCGTCCGGCCGGGAGTAAGAGAGAAGACGGCCGAGGGTGGCTTTGGCCGTGTCCTTGTCCCTGGTCTGTCCGGGAGCCGAGGGCCGTTCAGGGTGGAGCTGCTCGAGATCAGTGGGGAACAGTGTCTCCCCAGCAATAACAGCGAAGGCTGAGAGAGCGTGAAGCAGTGCCCAGCAGCCGGGGATGGAGATCAGAGCCTGTGTGTCTGACAGCAACAGCCGGACACTGCCATAGAGAGGGACGAGGAGACACACACACACAACAAACAGCAGCCGCTGCCAGCCCCGGCCTCTCCCTCCCGAGCTAGACACGAGATCCAGAGACAGCACCAGGCTGCTCAGTAAGGCCAGTCTGAGGAGACCTCCCAGCCAGCAGCCCAGCAAACTGCCCCAACCCAGAGACAGGAACCAGGCCGAGCGCTGCAGCAAAGCTCCTAACACCAGGTCACAGGCTGACACAGGCAGCAGCCACCCACACCAGCTCACAGCCATCCTGCCACAGGTCATAGACAACCACAGAGACACACACAGACACACACACACACACACACACAGACACACACCGAGCCACACACAGACACACAGAGCCACACACAGAGCCACACACAGACACTGGGTTGCGCTGTTTAATTCAAGCTCAGGCTGGTGTCTTGCTCAGGATCTGATCAATCTTCTCACTTCAGATGAAAAACTTCTGAGAAAAGAGGAAAAAAATCAATAAACAAGAGTCTTGTTGACCCCTCCCACCTGTCCCTCTCCTCATGCTTGTCCCAGTGGGTGGGGGGAAGGTGGGGTATGGGTAAGGTGGGGAAGGTGTGTGGTGTGGGGGGAAGGTGGGAAGGGTGTGGCAAGGTTGGGGGGAGGATGGGTTGGGAGGATGGGTGTTGAGGCGGGGATGGGTGAGTGGGGAGGATTGGGGGGGGGTGTGAGGTGGGGGTGGGTGGGGATGGGAGGGTGGAGTGGGTGGGGACGTTGCAGGGAGGTTGTGGGGATGGTTGTGGGAGGTTGGAGGGAGGTTGGGAGGAGGTTGGGAGGAGTTTGGGGGCGGTTGGAAGGAAAGTCTTTCATTTGAACATCTTGGATTTGGATTTTTGGAAAAGCTCATCACACGCTGTCTGACACTTGGGAAACCAGACACCGGGATCATCAGACACCCGACTGGTCACGGTGATGGGTTTCTGTGTGTCAGATACTCAGCTAATCACGGTGACGGGTTTCTGTGTGTGTCAGACACCCGGCTGATCACGGTGATGTGTTTCTGTGTGTCAGACACTCATCTGGTCACCGTGATGGGTTTCTGTGTGTGTCAGACACCCGGCCGGTCACGGTGATGGGTTTCCGTGCGGATCAGACAGCCGGCTGATCACGGTGACCGGTTTCCGTGTGTCAGACACCCGGCTGATCACGGTGACAGATTTCCGTGTACCCGGCTGATCACGGTGACCGGTTTCCGTGTGTCAGACACTCGGCTGATCACGGTGACGGGTTTCCGTGTGTCAGACACCACCCCGGTCCGCAGACCTGATGCCCATTCAGTGTGTGAAGCGCTTTGAGACATCGTCCCGATGTGAAATGCGTTACACAATGTAAATGTAAATTACTGTTATATTTTTTGGGAGTGAGTAGTTAAACCTCTTGTCACTGGAGGGAGTGAGTAGCTCACTATATGCAGTGGTTCAGGTCTTTGGGTGTCAAATACAGGCTGAAGTTAGCAAACTGGGTTTGCAGTTAATAATTACAATAATTACAATAAAACTGAATAATGTGCAGAGATCGCTGAAGGTGGCAACGCAGCAGATACACTGAGAAAAGGTAAACAGAGCCTTTGGTTTGTGAGTGGAGGCTCCTGTATAAAGTGAGGGCAGAAATGAACTGGTGAGAGAGGGCACTGTGTGGGGCTGAGCTGAGAGAGTGAAGGAGACCTGGATCGAGACCTGGCCTGATCGGGTGATTAATTCAGTAGATTATCTCTCTGTGTCACTAGAACTTTATATTTTCACACTGAGTCAGTGAGAATAAAATAATAACCATTATTCGGCTTATGGTCTTTCTGGTCAGGAGGATGTTTCAATTTGTGCACAGAGACATCCCACAAAGTTGAATGAGTGATTTTTATTTTCTGGCACAAACTGAAGTTCATACAGAATCCATCAATTCTTTTAAAGGGAATACAATACAGAATGACACTTACACAGCGCCTCTCACATCGGGGGTAGGAGGGTGGCCAAAGGCTTGGTAAAGCAGGCGAGGGATTGGGGGGGGGGGGGGTGGTGGGGGGGGGGGCAAGGAAATGTGGGATGGAGTTCCAGAGGGTGGGGGCAAAGAGACTGAAGGCCTGACTGACAATGTGGGGGGGAAACGGGGGGCACGAGGCTGTCAAAGGTAAATGTGGGTCTGCTACAGATAGAGACGGGGGGAATTATAGTAGGGGACAAAGACATATCAGAGACATTAAACAAGTACTTTGCTAGTGTCTTCACCTTAGAAGACACTGAAAACCTACCAAGAATAGAGGGGAACCAAGAAGAAAATGTTAGCGAGCAACTTGGAGGAATTAATATTAGTAAAGAAATGGTTTTAGGTAAATTATCAAGGTTGTAAAACTGATAAATCTCCTGGACCTGATGGCCTACATCCTCGGGTTTTAAAAGAGGTGGCTATTGAGATAGTGGACGGCTTGTCTTTGATCTTCCAAAATTCTCTGGATTCTGGAACGGTTCCCATTGATTGGAAGATTGCAAACGTAATTTAAGAAGGATGGGAGAGAAAAGATGGGGAACTATAGACCAGTCAGTCTGACATCAGTGGAAGGGAAAATTCTTGAGTCCTTAATTAAAGATGTTGTTATGGGATTCCTGGAAGACTATAACAAGATTAGGCAGAGCCAACACGGCTTTACAAAAGGGAAGTCATGCTTCACTAATCTTTTGGAGTGTTTTGAAGATGTATTGAGCAGGTTAAATAGGGGGGAACCAATAGATGTAGATTTTAAAAAGGCATTTGACAAAATGCCACACAAAAGGCTATTGCACAAGGTTAAGACCCACGGGATTAACGGGAACATATTAGCATGGATTGAAGAGTGGCTAACGGGTAGACAACAGAGAGTAGGAATAAACGGGTCATTCTCAAATTGGCAGGAGGTGACTAGTGGAGTGCCACAAGGATCAGTGCTGGGCCTCAGCTATTTACAATTTACATCAATGATCTAGACGAGGACATTGAATGTAACATATTTAAATTCGCGGATGACACTAAACTAAACCAGGTGGGAGAGTGAGCTCTGAGGATGATGCAAAAAAATGGCAACAGGATATAGATAGGCTAGGGGAGTGGGCGAGTAGTGGCAGATGGAATTTAATGTGGGGAAGTGTGAAGTTATTCTCCAAGGTGGCAAAAATAGAAAAACAGATTATTTTCTAGAGGGAGAGAGATTAGATAGTGTTAGTGTTCAGAGGGATTTGGGTGTCCTCGTACACCAGTCTCACAAAGTTAGTTTGCAGGTACAGCAGCAACTAAGAAGGCGAATGGCAGTTAGCGTTCATTGCAAAAGGTTTAGAGTACAAGAGTAGGGAAGTCTTGCTGCAACTGTATAGGGCTTTGGTGAGACCGCACCGAGAGTATTGTGTGCAGTTTTGGTCTCCTTATTTAAAAAAGGACATACTTGCCCTCGAGGGGGTGCAGCGTAGATTCACTCGGTTAGTTCCTGGGATGAGGGGACTGACCTATGAGGATAGGCTGAATAAACTGGGGCTGTATTCTCTAGAGTACAGAAGAATTAGGGGAGATCTTATTGAAACAGATAAGATTCTTAAAGGGCTGATAAAGTAGACACTGAGGGACTGTTTCCCCGGTGGGAGAATCTATAACCAGGGGTCACAGTCTTAAAATTAAGGGTCAGCCTTTTAGAACAGAGTTGAGGAAACATTTCTTCACTCAGAGGGCAGTGACTTTATGGAATTCACTCCCCCAGAAGGCTGCAGATGTCAGTCAGTAATTGAACATCTTCAAGGCTGAGACTGATAGATTTTTTAATAGAGGAATTAGGGGATATGGGGATAGGGCAGGTAATCAGAGTTAGGTCTGAAGATCAGCCATGATCTTATCGAATGGCGGGGCACAGACTCGAGGGGCCGAATGGCCGACTCCTGCTCCTAATTCTTATGTTCTTATGTTCTTATGAGTGGGGGATGTAAAGCAGACCAGAGCCCGCTGAGGGGAGGGAGCAGACAGGTTGATATGGGGTCAGTTGATATGGGAATGAGCTGGTGTTTGATGACAAGTGTGTGTGGGGGAGGGGGGAGACTGTGTGTGGGTGGGTAAGGGAAAGAGAGTATGAATGTGTAGGTGGAGGTGTATGTGTGGAATGTGTGTGTGTGTGTGTGTGGAACCTATGTGTGTGTGGGGGGGGAGGGTGTGTGTCTGTGGGTGGAGATGTGTGGGAAGGGTTGTTCATGTGGTGTGTGTAGGGAGGAGTGTGTGTGTTTATGTAGGGTGTATGTGTATTGGTGAGTGTGGTGGGTGGGTGTGTAGGGGTGTTTGTGTGGGGTGGAGTGTGGATATGTGGGGAGTGCATGTGGAGTGTAGGGGGTTGGGATGTGTATTTATGTGGGGTATATGTGTATTGGTGAGTGTGGGAGGGAGGCCGTGTAGGGGTGTGTGGGATGGGATGTTTGTGGAGCACATGTGTGTGTGTATAGGAGTGTAGGGGTTGCGAGTGTGTGTGTAGGATGTGTGTGGGCGTAGGGGATGTGCATAGGGTGTGTGTGTAGGGGGGTGTGTGTGTATATGTCGGGTGTGTGTGTGGGGGGGAGGTTGTGTATGTGGTTTGTGTGTAGGGTGTAGTCTGTGTGTGTATATGTCGGGTGTATGTGTGTGTGGGGGAGGGGGTGTTTGTGTGGGTGTGTGTGTGTGGGAAGACGTGTAGGGGGGGTGGATCCTCTGGCTCAGACTGAAGGGGGAAATCATCTGGTTTCTGTGATAAACTATAACCCTTTGACCCGCTTCAGTTCACACAGAGAGCTGTGGGTTCCCTTTTGACTGAATTAATCACATCAGAATTTCCCTGAATACATTTCCAGGAATTCAATGCTCCCAACAGATCAGTAGCCGTTTAACACAGTCCCACACACACTAACCGACAGAAATACACAGAGACACAAACAGACATATACACACACTGACATACACACAGAGACAGATATATACACAACCAGACAAACACAGACATATACACACACAGACATGTATACACACACACACAGACATACACAGAGAAAGACACACACAGACATATACAAACACACTGACATACACACAGAGACAGATATATACAGTCCTGTAGCTCAGTGGTTAGAGCACTCGCTTTGCAAGAGAGAGACCTGAGTTCAATTCCAGGCAGAGGGCGAAACCTCGGGCAAGTTTCCTTACTCCACACAGAGCCTAATAATATTCCCTCCAAAACAAAACAATAATAAATTGGTCATTTTCAATCCCCGACTGTTTGTGGGACATTGCTGTGCGCAATTGGCTGCCGCGTTCGCCCACAAATATACAGTCAATTTACAGT